AACTGTTTTTGTACATCATTTTATTATAAAATTCTTAAAATTGTAATAGAATTGAAGTATAATATTATCTTATCACAAATGGAATCGACTTCTGTAATTCAAGCACGATACATATATTTGTTTTATTTTTTAATTAATATTTTAATGATATAGTTTAATTCACATCACTAAGCTTTATCTTAGCAAAGACACTTGGATGAGCACCTTTGTGGCCACTGCCAAGATTAATTATTTGAATGAAATTAGACAAAACTCTGTAATCCATAAATGGTAATATGAAAAATACACACATCTTTTCTAACAACAACTTTCATTACACAGTAAACCTAAATATAACTGAAATATTTTACTCTTTATCCATGTTACTTCACTTCAGACAACTTCAAATGCATATACAACAATCAGTGCTTGATTCTCATATACAAAAATTCTATTGCAGTAGCTTTAACAGAATTTGTTCCTGATGTATTCTTCTATATTCAATAAAGACTTTTAAACATCTAGAAAACCATAAAATCATATCAATATATACATTTCTTAAAATGAATTATGTTGTACTTGTACTGATAAATTAATGCACTGAGTTCTTAACCTGAAGTACATACATAATTAAGATTGCACAAACAATGTTTTCTGGGAATAAAATGTTTTTCTTTAAATACAATATTAATACAACTTTATTGAGGTAGCTTAGTTTGAGATTGCTGATTACATATCTTGGGAACATGTCAGTTATGCATTCATTTATTATTTTTAACAGTCTTTTCTGCTCAATGTTCAATTCCAGCGATAAACTGCAAAGTTGTAATTATAGTAGTTAACTATCATAACTCTGCATATTTAAGATCTTATTTTCATGTACATCATGAATTTGAGATATGCAGGTATTTTTTTTATGTCCACATCTCAAACTGTTACATCTGTCTCATCATTATCAAATATGTAAATAAAACTGTCATGAGTAAATTTAAATTTAGAACAGAGTTAAAATAATCGTTAACTGTAATACCATAGTAGTTAAAAACACCATTGTGGCTAAACATGATGATGATCATAATGGTTGTACAAAAATGCCAAGTAAAAAAAAGTTCCATTCTATTATAATTTCAGGGCTTACACTTAATTGAATTGCATGAACATCTGTATAAAAACATTTTAAAGCAGTATATTCAAAGTTTCATTGCAGATATTCTAAGAAGTTTTCTTCATTAAATTATAAAATATTAAATTAAAACTGATTTACATGATATAGGATCAATGTCAAGANTCGGTGTACTAGACCAGACTAGACGTTCGCGGTGCAACTGTTTATGACTTTGTTAAATTTCTTCTGATTTTAATTCGTAAGTAAAATTTTATTATTTTTATTAATCACGAATCGCAAAAAGGCAAATGAAAAGCGACAGAAAACTAAAAAAATGACTAGAATTACAATGGAACTGATGAAAGACATTGTTGAGAAATACGAAGGTGGCACGCGTGTTCGAGATTTTAACTGTTGCCAACCGTATTCCGAGAACGACGATATGGACAATCGCGAAAAATAAAGACATTATTAAATCTGCTAATGTTGCGAAAAGGGTTAAATCAATTTTTAAACAGATATCGAAGACATCAGATCATGTCGAGAAATTGCTTTTGCTTTGGATAACTGAAAAATAGTGCTGGAGACAGCATATCGGAAGAAATTATTTGCGAGAAAGCTAAAAAGATACACGCTGATCTCACGAAAAATCAAGCAGGAACTAGCCAAGAAAGCGAGGTGTTTAAAGCCAGCCATTTTTTTTACACGAGAACGGATTAATCAGTTTTACATTACTTCTTATGGGAAAGATTGGTTTGGTATACGTCCAATTCGGTATAAGTCCAAACATCGGGAACGGATTAAGGTCGTATACCGAGGTTCCACTGTATTTATTTGTTCTCCAGAAAGGAATAACTTCAATTTTTTAAACACTGATGATGATATTCAGATTGGAGAAATCAATGTCAATCATAACTATTACTTATTAACTGTTAAAGATAATCAGAAGACATAAATATATCTTTTCTCCTGAAGAAGGTTGGTTAAATACAACCAAAATTGTCAGAGATTAGTAGTTAATTTAATACTACACTAATTTAATGAAAACTTTGAACTAAACAAACATTTACCATCTTGACAGTAACTAAAGATTATCTATTCTTTGAATGCCAGAACTAGAGAAAAGTTTGATAAGATAAATTGAAAAACCAGTTTAAGACAAGACAATATGGAAGTGGAATAAATTGTCGTTATTCTTTTAAAAATATCCCTGAAGTCAATTTTTAGGTCTAATTTATCATTATATACATTTTAAATTTTTAAACAATATTAATTTGCACCTGCAAATAATGCAATTACTTGCCAATAACCTATTAAATTAAAACAAAACTAAAATTCTTTTCATAAAAAATAAGTCATAAGAATTTTCTTCTAAATTAAAAAGTTGTTAATCTCATCTTCATTTATTTTACTTGAAATTTTATTTTTAGAAAGATTTTATAATAGCTTAATTAAAAATCAAAACTATATTTCAAATAAAATTATTATTATTACCATTATATGAAATGTTCATCTTAAAAAAGGATTAGCGTAAGTTGAAAATTTTATCAATAACTAACAAATTCATTTTCATTACCCCCACTATTTTGGTAGGTTATAATTAATCCACTTTTAAATTAAACTTATATATACTCACCCTTCATTTCTTCGCTGTTTATGAGCATCGGCATATGTTACTTCTCCGGCTTGTCTCATAAAATCTTTTAAATCCTTAATATTAAAAATAAATAAAAATCAATCAAATTTAATATAATACAATCATGCATAATATAAATTAAAGCATGCACTAGAGTTAACCCTTTCCAGTAACTGTATTTACATACTATGTTGATTCATATATGCACTGATATTTTTAATATAAATTAAACTAATATTAAAAAATTTTTTGATCTAATTTTTGCTCCGGAGTATCTATTTAACTATAAAATTCTTTTAAGATGAATCAACTATTAAATAAATTCAACCTTTGTTTCATTTGCAATCCATAAAAACAAATACTCTGATGTGAGAAACACAGGTTTAAATTATGGACAATTCTAGGAATATTGGCAAATTGAAATTTATTTATAGATACAGGTCAGCAAAAATATATCAGCAAGAAAAATTCATAACACTTTTTATTCAGATAAAATTTTAAATATTTAAATTCTGCATGTTATCTTAAAATGTAATGAAGACTAAGAGGATTAATTAAGTAATAAAGAGTATGGTTTGTTTTTGACTAAATAATTTAATACAATTTTTCAATAAAATCACTGACATGACCAATCATTTTGTCAGTTGATAACATAGCAAAATTATTACACACAAAATGTAAAAAAAAAAAGTAGTTTCATTTTACAAGTTTTTGTGAATATTTTCTTTCTTTACAACACACAGCATAAGAAAATTTTCATCTATGGTTAGAACAACCTACTATTAAATTATTCAGATAACTTATCTAAATATTTAATTATACAAACTTTGTAAACCTTTCAATCTAGTGTATTAACTAGTATAGTAAAGTAATGCTAGTAAAGAGCTCATGTAAACTCTAGTAATTTTTTGTTACTCATTCCAACATAGAATCAACTAGGTAACCTGAAATTCCTATATATAAAATTTAAATTATTTCAATTTTTCTATCTATCAATACAAATGCTATAAGTTAATCATATATGAGAATTAATAACAAATAATTTGACAAATTGTAAATAGCTATTATTGCAATTTAAAATTTTTGTTCTTTCTGTGCTGATTCTACTAGAAACATTTATTCTCATCCAAAGTATAGAAATATAATTTATATCTAATATCATTCTTAGTGACCAACCTGTTTTATACAATTTGATCACTCGAAAATTTTCTTATAATTCTAAAATAAATTTTTTAAAATTTCTAGAACTTAGTGATTTTATAGGTAAAGACAACAAACACTAATTTTTTTTTCAAAAAACTACTGAAGTTAGTTTTAGAAACAAAAAGTGAATGTCACNTTTTTTTTACACGAGAACGGATTAATCAGTTTTACATTACTTCTTATGGGAAAGATTGGTTTGGTATACGTCCAATTCGGTATAAGTCCAAACATCGGGAACGGATTAAGGTCGTATACCGAGGTTCCACTGTATTTATTTGTTCTCCAGAAAGGAATAACTTCAATTTTTTAAACACTGATGATGATATTCAGATTGGAGAAATCAATGTCAATCATAACTATTACTTATTAACTGTTAAAGATAATCAGAAGACATAAATATATCTTTTCTCCTGAGGAAGGTTGGTTAAATACAACCAAAATTGTCAGAGATTAGTAGTTAATTTAATACTACACTAATTTAATGAAAACTTTGAACTAAACAAACATTTACCATCTTGACAGTAACTAAAGATTATCTATTCTTTGAATGCCAGAACTAGAGAAAAGTTTGATAAGATAAATTGAAAAACCAGTTTAAGACAAGACAATATGGAAGTGGAATAAATTGTCGTTATTCTTTTAAAAATATCCCTGAAGTCAATTTTTAGGTCTAATTTATCATTATATACATTTTAAATTTTTAAACAATATTAATTTGCACCTGCAAATAATGCAATTACTTGCCAATAACCTATTAAATTAAAACAAAACTAAAATTCTTTTCATAAAAAATAAGTCATAAGAATTTTCTTCTAAATTAAAAAGTTGTTAATCTCATCTTCATTTATTTTACTTGAAATTTTATTTTTAGAAAGATTTTATAATAGCTTAATTAAAAATCAAAACTATATTTCAAATAAAATTATTATTATTACCATTATATGAAATGTTCATCTTAAAAAAGGATTAGCGTAAGTTGAAAATTTTATCAATAACTAACAAATTCATTTTCATTACCCCCACTATTTTGGTAGGTTATAATTAATCCACTTTTAAATTAAACTTATATATACTCACCCTTCATTTCTTCGCTGTTTATGAGCATCGGCATATGTTACTTCTCCGGCTTGTCTCATAAAATCTTTTAAATCCTTAATATTAAAAATAAATAAAAATCAATCAAATTTAATATAATACAATCATGCATAATATAAATTAAAGCATGCACTAGAGTTAACCCTTTCCAGTAACTGTATTTACATACTATGTTGATTCATATATGCACTGATATTTTTAATATAAATTAAACTAATATTAAAAAATTTTTTGATCTAATTTTTGCTCCGGAGTATCTATTTAACTATAAAATTCTTTTAAGATGAATCAACTATTAAATAAATTCAACCTTTGTTTCATTTGCAATCCATAAAAACAAATACTCTGATGTGAGAAACACAGGTTTAAATTATGGACAATTCTAGGAATATTGGCAAATTGAAATTTATTTATAGATACAGGTCAGCAAAAATATATCAGCAAGAAAAATTCATAACACTTTTTATTCAGATAAAATTTTAAATATTTAAATTCTGCATGTTATCTTAAAATGTAATGAAGACTAAGAGGATTAATTAAGTAATAAAGAGTATGGTTTGTTTTTGACTAAATAATTTAATACAATTTTTCAATAAAATCACTGACATGACCAATCATTTTGTCAGTTGATAACATAGCAAAATTATTACACACAAAATGTAAAAAAAAAAAAAACAGTTTCATTTTACAAGTTTTTGTGAATATTTTCTTTCTTTACAACACACAGCATAAGAAAATTTTCATCTATGGTTAGAACAACCTACTATTAAATTATTCAGATAACTTATCTAAATATTTAATTATATAAACTTTGTAAACCTTTCAATCTAGTGTATTAACTAGTATAGTAAAGTAATGCTAGTAAAGAGCTCATGTAAACTCTAGTAATTTTTTGTTACTCATTCCAACATAGAATCAACTAGGTAACCTGAAATTCCTATATATAAAATTTAAATTATTTCAATTTTTCTGTCTATCAATACAAATGCTATAAGTTAATCATATATGAGAATTAATAACAAATAATTTGACAAATTGTAAATAGCTATTATTGCAATTTAAAATTTTTGTTCTTTCTGTGCTGATTCTACTAGAAACATTTATTCTCATCCAAAGTATAGAAATATAATTTATATCTAATATCATTCTTAGTGACCAACCTGTTTTATACAATTTGATCACTCGAAAATTTTCTTATAATTCTAAAATAAATTTTTTAAAATTTCTAGAACTTAGTGATTTTATAGGTAAAGACAACAAACACTAATTTTTTTTTCAAAAAACTACTGAAGTTAGTTTTAGAAACAAAAAGTGAATGTCACACCTTTTTCTTCAAACCACTCAAGCATTATGCTATCATAATAAACTATTAGATAATTTATTTATAAGCTTCTAATAAAAATGTTATAGAATTCTTACATATTTCAATATATAAGGTAAATGCACCGGTAGTGGACACTTTGAACTTCAAATATGAGTAATAAGGTTGTTGATGGCTTCACTGTTCAAACATACAAATCATTCAGTAGACAGAACCCTCTAATGGTGGTAACTCGCACTGATCCTTTTCTAGTGCATCATGGGATGTTTTCCTGCACTCATTAGTGATGGCATTCCTGCTGATATAAGAAGACAAGTGAGTCTGCTGTCTGTTTCCTTAAGGTCTAGGTAAGTGAAATCACGCTTGCTGTATTAACAGTTAGTTTCAGCTTCATTGGTATGTTTTAAGACCTTCCTGATAGTATTTTTATTTTCCAAGTCAATTGAATGAGATGTCCACTAATGAAACAAAAATATCGTATATTTTTAGTAGTGGACAAGAGGTGGCCACAACTAGTGAAAATGAACTTTTCACTTTTAATCAGTATCAAGTCAAAAATTAAATCACCTAATGTTAAGTAACATACAGTATTGATTCAAGCATTTTTTGGTTACTCTGTCTAGTCATGGACAGGGGGTGTTCACTATTAAACCGTGAATGTCCGTTTATTGAAATGAGGTGTTTCAATAGTGGACAAAACATGGTTTGGTGCCATGGGATCCTACAGCACCCGGTATGCTAAGTAGGAAAATAATGTGCAAGAAGAAGTCAGACAGTACTCTCACGAAAAGTGATGTAAGAGTTGGTTTTGAAACATTAAAAATATACATGGGACCTGAGAAAGTGGGGTTATTTGAGACTGTAGTTTCTTTTGAAGATGTTGAGGCTACAGACAAGTCCCTGTTCAATTTATGGCACCAGATGAAGACAGACATCATGAATCAAGTAACAGCTGGAAACAACAGCAAATCCTTCAACAATAATGAATCAGAACATGAAGATTCGACGGTTGAAACTTCAAATCAATCGCAGCCATGAGATAAATGATGTCAGTAACACCAGTGCATTTAGTGATTCATATATTCATGATATTCATAATGACTACCACTATCAAAATGAAAGACCTAGTACTTCAAACACTGGCAATACCATTGTTGCCACAAGTACACACAATAGCCGCAATAACAGTCAGATCTCTGAAACAGTACCTAGTCCTTTCAAAAGGTCACTTCTCTGGTCAGAACCCAGGGAAATCACTAACAAAAGGAAGAAAAAGGAAATCATACCTTCTGTAGTTACGTCAAAAGCTTGGCAGGAATATTATGAAAATAAGGAAAAGAAGAAAATAGTGGAACTAGAACTGAAAAGGGAGAGAGCTTTGGCAAGACAGAGAAAGAAAGAACAACAGACTGCTGAGAATAAAAGGAAAGCTGAAGAGAAAGCTATGAAAATGAAAATGAAGACTACAAAGCAACGAAAGAAGAAAATGAGAAAGGAAGAGACATCATCAGAAGATGAAGGTTCTTGGATTCCCTCGGATGGTGGTAGTACAAACGATGTTACGTTAGATGTAGAAGACACTATGGAAGATGAAGAAGAAGAAGACGACATTATGCAGTTTCAGGAAAATATTGAACCCCCTTCAAACGAAACTATTGGACCAAGTTCAGCAATTAAGGAATCGAAAGATACAGAAGAAAGGGGAGAAAGTATTGAAGGGACTTTAAATTGGACTCGGAGGAAGGATATGTCCGAAAGACACAGTCGGAATACCATTGAAAAGGAAAGGGAATCAAACATCCTGCATGAGAATGATTTTGTAGTTGCCACCTTGTCTGGTAAGAAAAGAAAGTACAAATGTGTGTGCAAAATTACCAGTTTAATCAGTGATAATATCGCAGAAGTGATTGTGTTTAATTCCATAAATAGGATGAAAAGCGTATTTGCTAAAAATGAAAAAGATGTACAAACGATAAATATTTCTCAAATTGACTTGAGGCTTCCTAAGCCTCTAATTTTTGGAAGAGAGAGTCACTGTCAATTCTCGAAAGGCATTGACATAGATAAGTAGTTCAACACAAATTAACAATGCAACAATATTTCCTTAAACTATGCTGACGTTAATATTTGAGTTCTCCTAAATGTAACTTAGAACCCAGTTTTATACTATTATTTTTAAGTGTTTAATATTGAGTGTAACAATAATCCATTCCAGTATGTTAAAACTGATCTCATTTATTTCAACATTTGTATTCGTTAAGAATAATGTAACAATAACAAAATAAGAAAGTTTCTTATACTAACTTTGTAATGTTTTATATTTATGTTTCATAATACTTATTAGTTCAATTTTCATATAAACATTACAAACTATACACATGTAATTTACATTTGTACAATTTGATATTTTAATTAATTTAATTAAATTATGAGTTGTCATTATAATTAACACAGTGTTCTTGTTCTTTATAGTAAAGACTGTCAAATTCTGCAAGTTGTGAAAAATAAAAACGATTTCATCTTGAATATAATCATTTCTATATTCCTTGTCCACTACTGGTGCAAATGCCTGTCCATTACTAAATATCTCAATTTTTTCAATGTCCACTACTGAAACATTTTCAACCTTACAAAATAAATTAAATTAAAATGTATTCGACGAGACTGACATAATTAAAATCCTTACAGTGAGTGAAGAAAGATTTTGTCTAACAGACAATATAACTTTTAAGCCATAAGGCTTCCAAATAGGGGTCCAGTTTCAAAAAAGTCGAAAAATTTTCCTTAAAGTGTCCACTACCAGTGCATTTACCTTATGTCTAAGTAGGATTTAATAAATTTTCAACTGCAGGAAAAAAGGCTTAAATTATTTTTTCCTTTTGTGGTACATAAATATTTACATCTAAGATAATACATTGCTGTTTAGTTGAAAATAAATTTCAATTTTGATGATTATACATATTTGAGAATTTCCATATTTCAAAATCCTATTTGAAATAATAATTGAAAATTTAATGATTTAAAATTCAGTTTTTTTAAACATTTTATATACAACTATTTTTGTTAAAATTCAAATTCTTAAATTAAAATTTTTTTTATAGAACTTTTCTGAAATGGGACTGATGAATACCCCATTGTTAGTTTATGTGTAAAATTTTAACTAAATTTATCAATTATATAAAAATAAGATACTTTAACAATCCATATTTTATTGAAATGTTTGATATAACTTTTCATATTTATTATAGTTGATGTCCTTTTCAAACTAACTTTATGGTGACAATTTTCAGACAATAATAATTGTTTGCTCATCCAATTAAACTGTTTTTGTACATCATTTTATTATAAAATTCTTAAAATTGTAATAGAATTGAAGTATAATATTATCTTATCACAAATGGAATCGACTTCTGTAATTCAAGCACGATACATATATTTGTTTTATTTTTTAATTAATATTTTAATGATATAGTTTAATTCACATCACTAAGCTTTATCTTAGCAAAGACACTTGGATGAGCACCTTTGTGGCCACTGCCAAGATTAATTATTTGAATGAAATTAGACAAAACTCTGTAATCCATAAATGGTAATATGAAAAATACACACATCTTTTCTAACAACAACTTTCATTACACAGTAAACCTAAATATAACTGAAATATTTTACTCTTTATCCATGTTACTTCACTTCAGACAACTTCAAATGCATATACAACAATCAGTGCTTGATTCT